TGTAAATGACTTGGATGTATACAATCACAAACAGTCACATGTAACAATTTATGGTTTACAAGTTATATTTCATATTTCACACTGTGCACCGGTTACAAATCCAATAGAACTAATCACGGGTCATTGGTTCAAAAAAAAAAAAAAAAAAAAAAAAATACGCCAAAGGGTCGTCGGAGCAATTTGCCAAAGCGGCTACCAAAGCCGATGGCGATCTCTGGTGGAGTGGTGGAGGGAAGGTGGTGTGATGGGGTGAGGTGGCATGGGGTGGAAATAATTAATATATATTATATTATAATTCAATATTTAATAAATTTATTTATTACTTGATTTTTGAAATATTTTAGTAAGTTTATTATTTATGAAACGTAATATTTAGAACTAGGACATATGGGTTGATCCCTTAAATTTATTTGGGGTTCTAGGATGAATTGTTTTTCATTTTTGAGGCCTCCATATGATTTGAGACCCCAGGCTATTGCCTAGTTGGCTTTGGCCAAGGGTCGGTCCTTTGTATACCATTCATAGCTATCAGAATTGAACCCAACGAACTAAAAAACTGTTAACAAATTAGATAACTTGGTTTAGTTGAGTTATTTGAAGTTTGGCAAAAGGTCGAAGCAAAACCAACCCTTTCGAAGTTCTGAAGTTATTTTTAGGGCTCGTTTGATTCCCATTATTTGACAAAAATGCATTTTGTAATAGTGATTTGATGGAGAATGTGTGGTCAAAAGATAAGAAAAATTTTTAAATTTGCGTGTAATATTATTTTATTAAAGAATGTGTGGTTGAAAATAAGAGAGAGAAAATACATTTTGAAAATAATGGGAATCAAACGGCGGCTAAGTTGATTTAGGGAGGTTATGGCCTTATTTGTCTCCCATTTTTGAAAGAATGAGAATAAATTATATAACCATTATGGGATCCACATAAAAGATAGAAAGTCAAAAATGATGGCTTGATGTGATGGATAACGATCATATTTTTAATTTTGATAGCCAAAGAATAGAAACCAAACAGGTACTAAACAATTCAATTTGATAATGATTTACTTATTAAATCAGTAATTATGGGTTCAACCTAGGGATGGCAACGGGGCGGGTTCGAGGGCGAGGCGAGGACAAGGCAACTTTTTGCCCCATTTGTTGTCTCGTTTAAATTTTATTTATTTATTATTTTTTTTTTTACATTTTCAAAGTTTTGATTTATATTATTATTAGTGAATAAAATACAAATTCAAAATGAAGTTTTAACGAATGAATTGTCTAAAAATAAATTATCGAAATTTTTTTTCCTTTACAGGGCGAGTTCGGGTGAGCACGCTGCCCTGCCAACCCATTCGAGGCGGGGCGAGTTTTTTTGCCATCACTAGTTAAACCAATATATTTTTTTTTAAATACCTTGATTGGATCAATCACTAGTTCAACCAATGATTTTTTTTTTTAAATAGCTTGATTGGATCAATAACTGGATTGAGTTTAATAACTATCGCCTAGGGATGTCAAATTGGCTCGGTGGCTCTAGCTGCTCGTGGTTCGGCGAGTTGGCACGAACACATAGCGGTGTCAAAAAGGCTCGGTGGCTCGGGCGACTCGTGGCTCGTAGTGCCCGAGCCTCAAAATAAGAGGTCATCCCGAGCCCGAGCAAGCCCATGTGGCTCGTCAAGCCACACGGGCCGGCTTGTGTCACGGGCCAAAATGGCCCGTGACAATGCCTGCCCGAATTCAAAGATCAAAGTTAAAAAAAAAAATAAAAAAATAATACATATTTAAATAGTTAAGCTGCCGTTACAGGCAGCTATATAGCTGCCTGTAACGACAGCATCAGCTGCCTAAAGGCAGTAGCTATCTGCTACCTGTAACGACAGCAAGACAGCACCTACTGTATTTTATACTATTTTTTTTACTGTATTTCATAATTCAATTTACAAGGTTAATATTTGAAATTCAAATTCAAATTTGAATTTCAAATTTGGAGGTAAAATTGATTTTTTTTTTGCTATAAATACGAGGTAAATTTTTAAGTTCAAATCAATTTGTTTCAATCAATTTTAACTTGCAGTATTATAGATTCAAGTTTCAACTCTAATTTTTTTGCTCTCAATCTCATATTCAATTTATTTCACTCTCATACAGTCATACTCTAATAATCTGTATCTTATACTATACTAGTTATAGATTGATTTTACTAGTGAAGAGTTTAATTAGTTTAAGGGTAGCTCGAGTACTCCATCCGGTTACGACGATGCATTTCGAAATATTCCAATTGATTTGGAGAATATTGATGAGGAAGAAGTACTCGAGATTAAAATATCAAAAAAAGAATCCTCGGATTATTGACAACATATGACACGTAAAAAAGTTGGTGTTCAAAATGGAGTGGATATTTGGAAAGTATGTTGCAATTACTGTGACAAAGAACTTAGTTGGATGTTCGGTTCGAGCACAACACATTTGGATAGAAACATATTAAGGAGTTGCAAAGCGAAACCAGTCAATCTCGACTCGAAACAGACCGAACTAGTGTTTGGTGGTTCTTGTTCTACTCTTTCCACCTTTGTATATTCACAAGAAAGATTTCGTGAAGGAATTGTTGCATACGTGACTGCAGCAGAGATGCCGCTTATGATGATAGACTCGGTGCACTTTACCCGGTTCGTGCAGAAATATCTCCAACCCAAATATTCTTCTTATTGTAGAAATACTCTTCATTCAGATACTATAAAATTATATAACAAACGAAAACAAGTTGCTATTGAAAGTTTAAAAACTTTTAATAGTGCTATATCATTTACATCTGATTTATGGACTGGTGATAATAGAAAATGTTATATTGCTGCTATGACTCATTATATTAATCATCTGTGGCTTTTACATAAAATGATTATTGCATTTAGATGTGTAAAATATCCCCATAACGCCACTAACATACACATTGTTTTAAAAGATATTATACAGGAATATGGTATGCAAGATATGATTCGAAGTTTTACTTTTGATAATGTTAGTGTGAACAAAAGTGTTATCGAAAAATTTATTAATGAACTTAACCCTTCATTTGGAACTTTATTTTTCATCAACATTGTGTATATCATATTATCAATTTAATTATAAAAACTGGATTAGAACATATAAGTTTTCATTTAGATAAAATTAGACAAGCAATAAATTTTATTAATGTATTATCGGCAAGAAAACAAGCATTTAACAGTTTGTGTGCAGAGTATGACTTGCAGGATAAATCATTTGTCACTGATGTAACACATAGATGGAATATTACATATCTTATGTTACATTCGTGTGAAAATTATGATAACGTGATTTCATTATATTATAATGGTAGGCATACATACGAACCCGAACATAATTTAAAAGATTGGGAATTGTCTATTACGTTTCACGTGAAAAAAATTTTAAAATCTTTTTTCGATGTTACAAAGGAATGTAGTGGAGATTATTACTCTACATTTTCACTTGTTTTACAACATTTTTTCTACATTTTACAAACATTTCATAAATACAGGAATTTGCCTTTTTTTTGACTTAGTTTGCTCTATGGAGTTAAAATTTCGTAAATATTGAGATGAATTGCCCTCTTTATTTATTTTAGTTTCAGTAATGGACCCTCGACTTAATTTGAATGACACAATAGCCACTGCAAAGGGAATTTCAAATTTCATGAATGTGGAATTGTCACATGTGAATATAGAATCTACGTTATTTGAAATGTATAATTATTATGCTGATAAAGAAGGTTATTGTAGTTCTATTTCCCAAAGTTCTTTTTCAAAAAATATTTTAATAAATTCAGATAATTTATGGATTTTTTTGGAAAGCAATACAAGTGTTCCCTCATTTTGTTCTAGTTCATCGATGTTTAAAGCGATAAATGTCGGTGGTACAAATTTTGAAATTCCCTCTGAGTTAGCTAGGTATACGTGCGTGAACGTTCGCAGCGTGTTACCTGAAAAAGAATTACAGTAATTTAGTCTTCTAAATTGGTGGAGATGTAATGAAAGACAGTATCCAATTGTATCAAAAATTGCACGTGATCCACTAACACCTTTGGTGTCTACGGTAGCATCGGAGGCTGCATTCAATTTATGTGGTCGAATTTTATCAGACAAACGTTCAAGACTGAAAGAAGATATATTGGAGGCTTTAATATGCTTGAAGGATTAGGAATGTGCAGAGTTATGTGTTCAATAATATGTTGACAGTATATTGGCTGAAGAGATGCAGCAGATCCAAATATAGAATGTTGTAAGTTTTTAAAATAATTTATTTCAAAACAATATGTAATTTTTTCAAGAAAAATTGTACACAAAATATTTTATTCGTATACAATTTTAACTTTACCTATGTCATGTAGCCGGTCTCAAGCCCGAAAAAAGGAGAAGGGTTGTAAGTTGTAATTTTTATTTAATTTGTAACGCAATTTTATAAGTTGTAATTTTTATTTGATTTGTAACTTGTACAAATTATGCAATTTTTATTTTTTTTTTAAAGAAAATATTAAATTCGTAATTTTGTTATTTAAAAATAAAAAAAAAGAGCCGGCCCGATTTGACAAAGCCCAAGCCCAAAGCTCGAGCCGAGCCTTGTTTTTTCAGCCGAGCTTTTGCTCGGCTCGGCTCGAAAAAAGCTCAAGCCGAGCTCAAGCCTCGAGTTTCGACTCGCGAGCCGACTCAACTCGACTCGTTAACAACCCTATAGGCCCCATCTAAGTCACTTGTCACAACGTGATGACTTCAAATCGCCCATGACCATTGAGACCAAATCAAGGGCAATATCGTAACGACAGGAACTCAGTGTCAATACATAAGTAACTCAGGGCTATTCTAGTAAATTAATAAAGAGAATTTGTTCATTAAGAAACAAGGGACCACAAGCTTTTCCCCACCATCAAGTAATTAATTTTTCATATCTTCTTAATGAATTAAATATTCAAAAATTATAACTTATTCATTTTTTTTTAATATATATCTTAGGTTTCTTCTTCTCTTCCTAATCCTACGCGGCTCCTTCGGATTTTGCTGATAAATAATAGAATAGAATAATATTTAAATGGCAGCACCACACCATTGATCCGATTCTCTCTCTTTCCCTTGTTTTCAACGGCACCCTCTTATGCTTTATTGATCCGAATATTCATTTTTTTCTCTCCATTATTCGTCTCTCTCTCTCTAGATGTCTGTTCTCTGATATTTGGCATCATATTTCTAATCCTGAAAGGTGAGCTTTTTTACCTCTTCAAAACTCTGTGCGATTGATTTCTGGTACTATTTTCAATTCGAATTGCATTTTATGTATTCGCATTTTCGATCTTGGTGAGTTTTAAAGTTATTTTTTTTAAGATTATGGCAATTGCTTTTCTCAAAGTTTCAATTATGATTAAATATTTGAAGAATTCAGGCAAATAGTAAGTGGCTCTTTTATACTACAGAATACGTGAAGTTATTATTTTGCGTTTTGAACGTGAAATCCATTTTTGTTTCAGTCTTGAATCGTTAAAATCTTGCTAGTTAATATGCTTTGTCAGAAGATTAATTACTAAAGCGTGGCGTGAAGTATTTTTTCTAACTTCTTTATCGGTAATTGAATTTTTCAGACGATGAATATATATATATTTTTAATGGTTAAGGTAATGGGATGCGCAAAATCATTACAAGTGGCTTAATTTACTTCTACTATTTTATTTTTGCTATAGAATTTTGCTTCCTATTTGTATGCGGGAGTCAGAAATTTTATTTTATTTTGATAAGTGAAGAACTTAACAAATAGAAGGTCTAGGGTTCCCCTGGCGTTTTTTTTTTTTATTTTTTTATTTTTTTTCATCTTATAGTTCTATTCGTGTATTGGTAGCTTTGCTCCTGTTAATATTCTGCTGTTGAGATATCACTTTGCACCTATTCCAAATGTTTGTGAATTTTCAACTGTCTAGGACTAATTTTAGCAAGTATTGATAACTTCTTCTTTATTTTATTTATTTATTTAGTGTATTTTGACTGCTGATTTCCTCAATTTTTGACAGACGGGCAATTATTGGCAACTGTAAATTCTCGTTCATGGTTGACCTCTTCCATTAACTGAAGTTATAGAAAGGACTTGATACACAACAGTGGCTGTTTTTAGATGATAACCACTGGTTGCAGCTTGTAGAGGCTGCATTTAAGCATGTTGATAATTTTTTGGTTGATATTTAATCATTCTTACAATGAGAAGCCAGCATTTTACTACATATTATATTATCTGGTGGAGATAATAAGCAACGATGCCTGTATACAGTTGATTGAAGAACACTGTTTAGACAGTGTAGAAACCTCTTCTAAGAGGTTAGAAGTCCATTGAACTAAATTTATTTGGTCCCTTGTTGTAATCCGAAGAATGGAAAGGTGCGGTTATATTATTATTATTTTTCGTTTGGATAGCTTTCCATAGCTTTTCATTGAGCCTTATGGTTTTAGTATTTTCTTGTGTGTTTTACTTCCAGATATAAAATTTTGGAAGAGCTTGGCGATGGCACTTGTGGTAGTGTATATAAAGCCCTAAATATTGGAACATCTGAAATTGTAAGGGATTTACTTTCCAATATAGCTATTCTATTTTCCAAGTAACTTTGATACAAAGAAACGATTTTCGCTTCATCCATTCAACACCTCATATGAATACCAGGTTGCAGTCAAGAAAATGAAGAGGAAATTCTATTATTGGGAGGAATGTGTGAACCTACGAGAAGTAAAGGTTTGTGAGCTATTTAGTTAGTTACTGAACATTTGACGTTGACACTTAAAACTAAGATATTCATAAATATGTCTGCTTTTATTTATATTAGTTTGTATAAGTTAACCTTTTTATTCCCCTCTCCATGCAGTCCCTCCGCAAATTAAATCATCCTAACATCATCAAATTAATGGAGATTGTCCAAGAAAACAATGAGCTTTTCTTCATATTCGAGTACATGGTATCGTATGAATATTTCTTGCTATTGCTATTCCCTTTCTTTTATGTGATACAAACTCAGATTGTTTAGCACTTGATTTTTGAATGATGGATCTATTATGTCTTTTTAAAAATGACATAGAGCATAACAATTGGTTAGGAATTTTTTGGTTGTTTGACAACAATTATTACGAGTTCTTAGTGATAGTTGTTTTGGTGTCTAAAATTGTCCTGCCTCAAGAAGTTCAATAAACACATAATTTCAATTGTAAAATTACTGGAATATTACAGCTGAATTTGTTTGTGGACATGATGAGTCAATTTTGTCTCCATAGATTGTCAATTTCCTCAGTCCCGCAGTTGAGATACCTGTGCTTTGTCGCAATGTGTGTTGTTATTTAGATACTTCACTTCTATTATATACCGACAATGCTCTCTTCAATAGAAAAATATTGCACTGCTTGCTGAAGTCATGAAATGATCATGAAAGGGACTAAAAGTTCAGGAACTGTCCTGCCAAACTATCATCGCAAGATCCCCTCTTTGCTCAATGCTGATTATGCTGTTAGGGGATCTGAAATGTATGATTCCAAAAGATTCTTTATGGGGTAGAGGTTATTTAGTCTTCAAACAACCACCTCTGGACTCTGGCAGACAGCAGCCTAAACATGATTAATTGATTATCTACTTTAGCAGAAGCTATCTAATCTAGTCTTACTTGTTTTCCTACTTCTACACTTGTTCTGATAAATAAACATCATCACCACTAATTGGATCTTTAAGGGAATTATTGACATACATGCTTCCTCTATCATCATTCTTGTCACTGCGTTTCTTCAAATGCTTTGTCATCATTTTTCACTTGCAATAGTGTCTTATCCTTCCTTTCCCTACCTTGGAAAGGCACAAAATAGAAAAGAGAAAATAAAAAACAAAAACACTGTAAAACATTCTAGGTTAACAAAAATAGCCCAAAAAGCTAAGGCCAATTGTAAAATGCTGAGAAAAGGCAAGACAAATTGCCACGCTTCATGCTTCTTAATCTTAAAGTGCTAGCCTCAGTAATCAAGGCATAAGTCTCACAAATGACAATTAAGGCTTAAGCTTGAGTTGTTCAATGAAAACCTCAAGTGAGTTGAGAATTGAGGTGTAAGCCTCAAATGGTTTTTAACAGTATTGTATTCACTCTGTTTCTATTAATTTAGAAATAATAATCGTTCGAAACAGAATAAGGTTCTATGCCGTGAACTTTTAGAAATAATAATCATTCGAAACAGAATAAGGTTCTGTGCAGTGAACTTTTTATTGATGGCTTGTGTCTCAATGTTTAGTTTTATTAACAAGCTCTACTTGGCATAGTGGATGTTTCTCTAGGCAAAACACGAGTTAGGGCTATCTTAGGTCCCAGACGATTCTCTTCGCAAGAACTTCCGGATCGAAGAAGCATTTGGAACAGGCTCCGCCGTCTCCTTTGCGAGGAGGTTGCGTTGCTTTCTGAATCTTATAGCGGATTTGAAACTCCAATTTCGTCAAAAGAAATCATCCCGGAAATAAATTACATAGAGAGATTTTGTTTCGGAGTTTTTTTCCTTTTTTTTTTTTTTTTTGGGGGGGGGGGGTTGGGGGGGTGTTGTTTTGCCTTCTTGTTCAGCAGTTTGCAAACAAGTTGTTTAGTTCATATTTCATGTTTTTGGCTATTGTTTTACCACATTAATCTCTTTCTTGAAACCTTAATTGGTTGTTATATCTTGCTCTACTTAAATGGTTGATGCTCTCAGAATGAAACACAATTTTGTAAAATCTTGATGATGGACTTTGTATATCCAGGAACATAATTTGTATCAAATAATGAAAGAACGGCAAAAATCCTTTTCAGAAGAAGAGATTAGAGGGTTGATGACTCAGGTTCTGCAAGGGCTTGCATATGTGCATAAAAATGGATATTTTCACCGGGATCTAAAACCTGGTATTGAATTGTTCAATAGTGTATTTGTGAATCAAGTGGTTTGATTTAATTATAGAGAAGAATATTTTATTGCATGCTTATTAACTGCAATCCTTTTTTCCTGAAGAGAATTTGCTAGTGACAAATAACACAATAAAAATTGCTGACTTTGGACTGGCTAGGGAACTCTCCTCAATGCCTCCTTTTACTGATTATGTTTCCACACGCTGGTCAGTCATTTTCCAACACTAGGACATCATCTTGCCGCACACTTTTGTGATTCAGAACTATCTAATGGATGAATTATGCTTGTTATTGCAGGTATCGAGCACCAGAAATCTTGTTGCAATCTTCATCGTACACTCCTGCTATTGGTATGCCAATATGCTATACTTTTAATTCTCTCAAATTGCACTAGCTTCTTAGGCTTTGAAGAGATGTTTGGCATACTGTTTCTTGCTGCTTTTTATCCTTATCAGTTGTTGATAAAGGTGATTATTGAGTAGGATGTAGTGCTATCTATGTAGTGACATGTTTCATTATGAAATCTGTTTAAGAATGGGAAGGAGTATTTGCTAGGTCAGGTATTAATGGATTTTGTTCTAGCTGCTTGTTCAATATATATATATATATATATATATATATTTGGTTTTCTTTTTTTTTTTTTCCCTCCTTCCCTTATCCTTTTCTTTTAGATTGATAACTAATGGAAAGCATAACATCATGACAGATATGTGGGCGGTTGGTGCAATACTGGCTGAGCTATTCACTTTGTGCCCTATTTTTCCTGGGCAAAGGTGATTTATTAACTTCTTTTCCGTCACAATCTTAGACAGGCTACATTGAACTTCTTGGTTTATAATTGCTGACCTTGTTAGACATTACTGTATGAACAGGATAAAGAATTCTTTTATTAGAAAGATGGTGCCTCTTATATTTGTATGGATATCAATAACTCCTTACTTCTCCCATCAGCTTTTTCCATTTTGAAAGCAAAAGAAGCTGAATACTATATTGCACATATTCAATATTTATTTGAATGAATAGCTGAAATGAAAATACTTGAAAATCTTGTCCTGTTTTAAGTGTACTGATTCTTTTCAACCATGGTCAGTGAGATAGATCAGTTGTATAAGATATGCTGTGTTCTTGGGGCACCAGATTGGAATACCTTTCCAGGAGCGAGGAACATTGCTAGATTAGTTGATATCGGTTATTCTGAAGTGAGCTAAATATATGAACTTAGACAAATCCCCACCCCCACCCCCGCCGTAAATCTTTCATATTGATAGTTCTATTTATCTATTTGGTAGATTATGCCTGCCAATCTTTCAGATGTTATTCCAAATGCAAGCTTGGAGGCAATTGACTTGATCAAGGTGATTTGTCTGTATATATTACCTTCATAATTTGTCCACTTCAACAAAGTTTCTCATTACTAATTTCTTCTTTATCGTATAGCAACTTTGTTCATGGGACCCGTTAAAGAGGCCAACCGCAGATCAATGCTTACAGCATCCATTTTTCCATGTAACGTATCTTCCCAAGTTTATCACCAGTTTCTCACTATTATGTAAATCACTAACAAAAACCAATACATAGGTTGGCAAGTGGATACCTCATCCGCCTGGGGATCTGCTCCAACTGAGATTAAGTAATTGTGGTGGGTATCCCGACTAGTAGTCAATGTTGGACAAGTATGAATATCTTTTCTCAATTATTGATATGTCTGCAGGATCAAAACCAAATCTCGAACTGAACCTCTGGGACTATGGCACTTCAAGGGATGATTGTTTTCTTGGCTTGACTCTGGCAGTGAACCCCAGTGCTTCAAACTTGGGTAATAAAATACCGCTTTGATGTTTCATGATTACTCTTCTATTTATTATGACTGACTAGGAAATGCATTGAGGTTGAATATAGGCACTTCACGTAATAATGTGCAATCTACTTTCTCTTGAGTTCTTTATTTTATTTTCAATTGATGGAATAGGGTCTACACGTGTAATAGAAACATGGAATAAACATTTATTAGTTAAAATGTGTTCCAACCTTCACTCTTTTGAACCAATTGTGCAGGTACAAGGGACATGTTTAATGATTTAGTTTTACTAAATTGCTTTCCTTTCTTACAGCATGAAATGATTTATATCTATGGAGACTTGTTTCAGGAATGCTTGTCATGTAATATTCTAATTAAACTGTGAGGAAAAGTTACTGGGATAATTAGAAGTTATTTTTTTGTTGTGTGATCATGCTCATTCTATTATCTATACTGGAATTTTTGGAGGCAAATTTAAATTAGTTTGTCTTTTCTGCAAATCTTTAAAATGAAAGGCTTCCTGAATTCTCTAGATGGGCTTATGTTGTTTTGATCTTTGGAAACTTTATATTCATCTAATACACGAATTCGTTTCCTGCAGATAGGGTCAACAAAAGCCAATGTACAGGAGAGGTAGGTGTATATCTGTCGATAAACTATCAGTCCATTCTCTTTGAAGGCGTTCTGTGTGCGCTGTTTTTTATTTATTTTTCCTAACCAAGGTAGACCATAGGAGTGCAGGAAGAGAGAGAGGGTGGGGTGGGGGTTGATCTAATTTAATGCCCTGATCACTAGAGCAATATCATTCTCCTGATGTATTCTAGACACTCCTGCATTTGGTTTTTTAAGTTCATGTCATTGTATGTGCAGGATATTATGTTTTGCTCTGGTGTTCACGATCAATCTCAACAATCAGGTAATTTGAATGTTTTTGTGGATCCACGTTTGCCTATTCCATCGAGGCTGTAATATCTGATTAACAGAGTGAACCATTTTTCCCCTCCCTGGTAAATAATCACATGCATGCTTCTTTTCAGTTTTCTGGTCATTGTTTCCCCCTGATCACCATGGGATTACTGCACCAGTAGACCCTTCCCTGTCATTATCTTTCAGGTCAGTTATAAGCATTCTGCTAAAGTGTTACAACGAATAGAATTTACATTCGTGGATGTTAAATTATGGGCTTATTGTTTGTATTATTAGTTCAATGCCACATTCGACAATTGAAGCAACAGCACAATCGGCAGGGTTTGGGATGGCATCGTTGCAGACCAGCATCCTAGACTGTCCACTGCTGGCAATGTCCTCGCCTTTCCAACAGGGTTAATATCTTTGAGATCATATCAAATTTCCTCAAGACAAATTATCAGAACAACACGCTTAGAGTGCTTGTAATTATATTATTTAATTCTGTACAAAAATTTTAGGAATAATTTTCATCTGGATCCAACACTTATTCAAGTTGGGCATGTATAATATTTATTGATATGCCCGTCTTAGTTGTTAAAACATTTTTCAAAAGTTGTATTTGGTCACAACTTTGATTTGCAATGGTAATTTCTCTCAAAATTGATAGCAAGGTGACCAAAACATATCCATAACAACTCTTTTAAATTATTAATTATAAATTTATTCAAGAGGCAGAAGCACGAAATTCACTACTTGGTATGAGATGTAGTGAATTGGGACCCAGAATCAATCGTTAATTTTTTGCCGGTTATCCATTATATTCGCTCGGGCTACTGGTGCAGACGCCGTCACTATTCTGGACATTCTTGAAAATTATGGAAACGCCTAGGATCGGCAGGTAAATATGCCATCATTCTTTAACTAGTTTGTCGTTGTGACATAGGTATGGCGCCTTTTGGATGCCCCAACTACTTGTGTCTATATACCATCCAAATATGGATACTATCGAGGAGAAATAGACTCTTCCTTCATTTAGAGGAGTTTACTATGGGTCAGGAGGTCATCAAAATGGGAATCAGATGGAAAGTCTGGACTAGTGATGTGATCCTTGGCTCCCTCCTAACTAGCTTCTGTATGTATATGCCACCCAGAGGCAAGGCGACTGTGGTTTGTGATTTGATAAGCCGGGATGGGGACTATAATGAAGAAGTTGTGAACAAATTGTTTCGGCCAATTGATAACAAAGCTATATAGATGGTGCCACTTAGTGTATACCCACAAGAAGACTGTTTTAGATGGCATTTTGATGTTAAAGGCAGCTACACAGTGCTAAGTGAATATAGGCTTTGCTGCTGTCCGAACTCAAAGAGCTACTTTGGATCCACTTCAGAAGATATAAAAAGAGCTCAACAAAACCCTGAAGTCACAGAAAGAGGTCGAACCATGTGTTCATACAAATGAGCTCCGCCCTAAGGCCACCGTCATCAATAATTACTCAACTGAAAAGATATTCCTCAGTGACGTCAATACCTTCCCAACAACCGATTAAAAGAGGACAAGTGTCACATCTGATGTCAGTATTAGTGTTATGCTTCTCACCTATAAGAAAAGAGGGACGATTGTCTAGCTAACATGTAATCATGATTTGGCAACTTGAAAATAAGATGTTCTTTATTTAAAATAAATACATTGACCATTATATTTTTCACAATATTTTTCATTGACCATAGTAATTTGCACAATGTTTTGACTAGCAACTGAACTTTGCGATAACTATAATTTAAATGTGCCACATATGGAAATTTTTATCCATTCTATCTGTTTTTAACAATTGATGATATAGTGACAGATGATATAATGTTTGATAAGTATAGAATCTAGCATAAACATTTTAAAATTCATTGAATATGGATGAAAAACATCATGAAACATATATTAATCTCCATCTTTCTAACTCCAACTAGCCCTTGGACTTGGACTAAAGAAATTCTTTTATTGGATATATATTATGATAGGAACTTAAAACGAAAGTAGCTAGAAAAAATGATCAACAAGATTATGAGTTATGACCATCATTTATTGTCTACTGCATCCTAAATTTCTGTCAATAAAATTAGACAAACTTTTCTAAATTGAAATTAAATTAAAGTACAATTATTCGATTGGAATCAAATAAAACTATAGTTACCTGATTATAATTTTATTAAATATAGTTACTCAATTAAACAAAATTGATAGACAGTTTCTTGATTGACACTAAAATAAAATATAATTATCGCCAATGGCAAAAAAAAAAAAAAAAAAAGTACACATGTTAAATACCAGACATTTAGCCCCTAATCGATTTATTCAAAATTAAAATTTTAATAGATTTTGATAAAAATTAATGAAATATGTGATTGAAAGTTGTGGGTTCTAGAAAATATATGGTCAAAAGTGATTTTTATAAAAAAAAAAAATGAGATTTTAAAAAAATTGAAACCAAACAGAAGCTTAATAATTAATGCATCATTGTTGGGAGAGGATTTATTCCATAATTGCTCACAATATTTCTAGTAATATAAGTCCAAGTGGGCGTTGTCCATCTTTTAAACTTAATCTGGTTCAATACTAATTAATTCAATTAATTAAATTTGTTCATCAACTAATTAATCCAATTAATTAATTCAACTTGTTAATAAACAACCCAATTAATTAATTAATTGGTGAATCTTATTTTTCTAGTTCTTCTTTTGTTGTGACCTATTAAGTTCTCGATCACGATGCCTAATGACGTGAATTATTATAATTATGATATAATCAAAATCGATAAATAGAAACACCCAATTTTAATTCATCACCAATTCACGTCCGTCTTCCCAAATTGATATTGAGCAATGTGTCAAGGCAATTCATGTGACGGAAAATGTCACATAATATAACAAAACTAAACATGTTTGTTTGTCGTGAAATTATAATCCTTTCGTCAATATGATTCGATCAATTACGAGATATGTATAGATGTCAATTTCAATTATCAATCATATTTTTCATATCACTATTAAATCAATGTAAGTTGAAAACTCTTTTCGACTTATGCGTAGACATTGGCCAAAGATATTGTTATCAACTTAACAGAATGAAATGTAGATCATAATCTTTTATAATCTAAGAGTGACGAATCATTTACTGATCATTCACAACTTTTATATGATTCTTGACATACCCTAACAATGCTATATCAACGACCCTTGACAAAGCAATATCCAATATCACCAAAGTATGACTGTCGTCATATAAGACACGATGATGACATTAAGTCAAATGACCAATTTCACTTTCGAACGTTAGAGATTAACCATTGATACTCAGATAGTTATCCGTGTGGAGTCTTCCCAGTGGGTCTCCAATGTTATAATGTTTTATTCTATAATAAAACATTCACGTGTTCATTTAAGTGTCACCATACTTTAACTTGTGAGATCAGCTAATTACTTCTCAAGAAAGAAATGTCACTTTCGTGTAAGACTACGGATCATTTAAGATTCAGTCATATGTAATTTATATTACACAATCACAATTCCTTGTGATTAACAAATTATCAAAACTTGAATCTATAGATTCTATTATTTAATACGATTTATTAGAATAGTAATTTAAATAAGCGTTTACGTTCAAAATATATTGGACTTACGGCATAATACTTACAGAAACAACCCGAAATCTTCACGAAGTAAATTTAATAACCAAATCTACATCTAAATGCTCGATGTTCCAGCAATTGCTTCCATTTCCTCGATCAGAGTCTTAATAAAATTGTTTTGAGTATCCTTATTAAGCAGAAACTCCTTCCATTTCTTCTGATTAGCTCTTATGGACTTTCCCGGTTCTTTATTAATGTTAAACATAACTGTTTCAACAGCACTCTTAATATCCTCTTTTCCAAAGAACCCATCTTCATCCCTTCTATCGACCTCCACTCCAGCCTCAAGGTCTCCATGTACTAGCTTAGAATTCAAGAATTGGTCCGACTTTTGGGGCAACATAACCAGTTGGCAGTCATTCACTATAGCCTCAATCACTGAACTGAATCCTGCATGACATAAATAACAACCCACGCTTTTGTGGGCCAAAATCTGCTGCTGTTGGACCCAACCAGTGTGAATTATTCCTTTACCTTCAACTCTTTCCAAGAACCCTTGAGGAAGTGCCCTCTTTAGCTCGGCTGAGACATCAACATTTACAGGAAAATTTAAGATGAGAAAAAATGGAAGACCTGTCATATCTAGCCCTAGAGCTAGTTCTTTAATTTGATCATCAGTCAAGAATGTTTCACTTCCAAAAGAACAGTAAATGACAGAGTGAGCTTCAAATTTGTCTAACCATTTAGCCCATTTTTCCTCCAGGTGATCTGGTGGAGGCTCCGGGACTACTGGACCGACTAAAAGAACTGGTTTCTTAAACTGGGACTTGAAGTAATTTATGTAAGGTGCTTCCATTTCATTGCAAGTCTTGGCAAGTATAACCGAGCAGCCCTGCAAGCCCGAGAGGAAACGGTCATACCCACTAGGTTTTCCATGAAAACGCTTGAAAATATAGAGAAAATTTAGAGCCTCAAAAGTCCTGAGTGAGGTTACAGAGGTTTGAGGGAACCCCGGGGGAGGTTTTTTCATTTCTTCAACTGTGGGAGATCTTCCAGGTTCAGGAAGCCTAACCGGAACGATAGCAAATGCAGTTGCGAGAGCAATGAACACAGAATAGAGCATTGTTTTTATACCCAATTCTTAGGCTAACTTAGGGAGCCATCCTTGAGCAAAATCAAAAAGTACAAATTGGGGTTTGAGTTGTGATAACAGTGTTTTTATCTGAGGTTGCATAAGATCAAGAGCAACCTTGAGGAGTTCAGATTGATTTGGATTCAGTTCAGCCGTGCTCTCAACGCCCGGAGGAAGACCCTCAACGTGCGGTAGAGTGAGAGGGATTATTTGGGTAGTGGAAGCGTCGTTGAGCATTGACCTTATGCGATTAACATTGGCTGGTACAGAGAAGAAAGAGATCTTGACGCCATGAGAGGAGAGCTTGTTAGACAGCTGAACAAATGGACTGATGTGACCGAAGGCAAAAAATGGAAACATAACAACATGAAGACAGCTATTCGGGGAGCTTTTCTCTGCCTCCATCTCAAAGCGAATTGAAGGTGAAATGGATTTGGATGGGGCTTCTATTTAGTAAGGGATTTTTCTTAACGGACATTAAAAATTAGGTTGTTCAAATATAAAGGTTGAAACCCAACTTTGAGGGTTCCCACCGTCCCATCTCTAAAGTTTTGTGAGAGAGGTAAATTTCTTGGTGTGTCCCAACAGGTCAAGGAACAAGAGCTGCCTATACATTGCGCCTACAAGAAGTCTAATTTCATGTCTCAGGAATCGAAATCCCACACTGTAGCTGCCAGCAAGGCGTGAGATAACCTCACTCCTGTCATTTACACCACTAAACTATGCCCCCGGGGGCTATGTTGTTCAAATATATATATATATATATATATTTGGTTGTTCAAATGTTCACAACTTGGTGGGTGGGTTGTCGTTGTAAGAAATTTTGCTATTTGTACATAAAAATGATACATAAGCGATTATAAAAAAATGATGTGGAGGAAAAAAATTGAATGAAAAAGTTGACTGTGTTTTAAACTGACAAATGGTAAAGTGCTATGTGAACATTATGTAGTCATTTATATAAATCTTGATGTATGTGTAACAATGTTCTATTTTTTGATTGATCATGATACTTTTTATAACGTTTAGACTAGACAATAAAATTTGCGATAATTAACATTTAATTGTGCAGCATTTGAATATTAATTGCTGGTGATGTAGTGACATATAATGTAACGTCTGATAAGTTTAGTGACTAGTCATAAACGTTTAAATTCGGTGATTTATGACGAATCTCATAGAAAGTATAGTAATCATTGATATTTGAGTCTGCATGGTTTGAATTTCTCACATTTCAAAATCGAACCTCATTCATCTCAAGACCATGACTGCAATTTTGTAGTTCAAGTTGAAATCAAAAGGAGTTTTTTGACTTTCTGTGAAGCAGAATATATAGGCACCGGAAATAACAAACGGATACATAAAGCTTTACAGATGTGAGCTGTCCTCATTTTTTCTTTGCCAAGCAAAATGAATCTGTAATGTGTAACTCAAATGAAAGCAATTAAAATTTCAACAATCATGCTACATATACACATTCTTTTCAACTTCACCTGTGGATAAGCCTATGAAACACGTTTACCGTAAAAAGATGAAGCAGTCAAATGAAAAGTAATCCTGAAGCAAGAAAAAGAAACAGACTCGAGATTTTCTGGCTTATACAATACAAAATTTTCTATTTCATGTGAGATTTGTTGGACACAAGACATTGAAGTTTGGTTTTTGTTTAATATGCAATATTTGATATTATCAAATAAATCAATGAATAATTTTATTTATTTTTTATTTAATAATGTTCAATATCCTCGAATCCATTATTATCAATATTAATTATATTATCTTATGAAGGAGGTGGGTTAGTTGGAATGTCACATTGGAAAATGAAAGGTGATGACAAATGAACCTTTGCAAGTGAGCGGGGCCCTAACATAGGTGAATTATCATTCAATCATTTTGGATTTTAATAATGTTCATTTAATTGCTTTCATTAGAATTACAGGTTACAGATTCATTTTGCTTTTATTCCAAATTTTCGCAACAATCATGTTACATATATATCCTTTTTGACATCTTTGTTTACATTGTACCACATGTCAAGACATTATTAGACAATTCTTTAAAAAAATAAAAAATAAAAAATAAAAAAATCCATAATTTTCCGCCCACAATTTTTTTAAATCCAATAATCTGTACACAATAATGTCAACTCCACAATGTACCCTTAGTGTCGTGAAAATTTTCAAGAAATTTTGATTCCAAGCTTAGTCTACTCACCGAATGAACGCCAATTGAGTTCAGCTTCAACCCACAACTTCTAAACTTCGGTTGCTGTAAGTTTTGCCCACAAAGGACTGTTGGGTTGTTTCCTCTTATGACGAGGAAAGCCCATGTTTGGGATCTTATATTATAGCTCATAACCCAATAGGGTTTTAATCCTAATGATAAAAATAAATACAAGAAGATTGGTAAAAATAGGAGTACAACCCGCTTTGAAAAGAGAGAAAAACAGTTTTTTCCCTACACTTAGATTTCATCAAAGCTCCGATCTTGAGTCATCCGTGGTCCAATAGAGCTGAAATGCAAGCTTGGAGGCAATTGACTTGATCAAGGTGATTTGTCTGTATATATTACCTTCATGATTTGTCCACTTCAACAAAGTTTCTCATTACTAATTTCTTTCTTTATCGTATAGCAACTTTGTTCATGGGACCCGTTAAAGAGGCCAACCGCAGATCAATGCTTACAGCATCCATTTTTCCATGTAACGTAGTATCCCGACTAGTAGTCAATGTTGGACAAGTATGAATCTCTGTTCTCAATTATTGATATGTCTGCAGGATCAAAACCAAATCTTGAACTGAACCTCTGGGACAATGGCACTTCAAGGGATGATTGTTTTCTTGGCTTGACTCTGGCAGTGAACCCCAGTGCTTCAAACTTGGGTAATAAAATAGTGCTTTGATGTTTCGTGATTGCTATTTATTATGACTGACTAGGAAATGCATTGAGGTTGAATATAGGCACTTCAAGTAATAATGTGCAATCTATTTTCTCTTCAATTGATGGAATAGGGTCTACACATGTTATAGAAACATGGAATAAACATTTATTAGTTAAAATGTGTTCCAACCTTCACTCTTTTTGACCCAGTTGTGCAGGTACAAGGGACATGTTTAATGATTTAGTTTTACTATATTACTTTCCTTTCTTACAGCATGAAATGATTTATATCTATGGAGATTTGTTTCAGGAATGCTTGTCGTGTAATATATTTGTAGAGTGTATATTGATCACCAAAGATAACCCAAACTCAGTTTATATACACTTCCAACATCACGAAGCCAACAACTACAAACCCAAGACAATACCAAGTTCACTTCCTGTTGCCAATGAGATATATCACTTAGGATACCACAAAGATGCAAGAAATCTCATAGAATATCACCACTAAGGTGATAAGAGGCAGAGAAAGTGGAAGAAGAGAACACACAGAATTGACCAAGAAAGAAGGCAGCGAATGGGTCTCTCACTTTGAGAGAAAGAGACCAATTTATCTTGCAATCAAGTAGCCTAAATAAGGTAAGTATAGTTAGGTTAAACAATGAGTCAAGTTAGGAGCCCAGGAGATAATTAAATGGGCTCACAAGTCATTCTCTCAATTAATGGCCATCCAAGGAAGTGTATTGGGCCACGAGCAACACTAAATTATTTAGGTTGCTTTGAGTGGCCCAATTAACCTTCGAGTCGTATCGTCTTGAATGTGGTGTTGGATTCTCGTTTAGTCATTTGGCTAAGCCGACTGAAAAATTAAACCGAGTAACATCATAGTCCGGGAGAGATCGTTTGACAACAAATTGCCTAGCAACCTCCACCTTGGTGTCAAAGGACTTGCAAAAAGAAAATGTCTTCCATTAGTGACACCTCTAATAGAAAATTAATAAAATTGGAAATCATTTACCTGTACCAATGTTTAGAAGATCTTTGCAACTTCTAAACTTTACCAATGGTAGCACTTTTGTGCCCATATCTGAAGGGTTGTATTGTGTGCGAACCTTTTCAAGTCTTACCACCTCTTGAGATACTATATCTCTAATAAAGTGTAACATCAATGTATTTAGTGCGTTCATGAAAAAGGAGGTTCTTACATAAATGTATAGACGATTGACAATTAGAATATACAACCACATAATCATTCAAGACACATAATTTATGAAGTAAACCTTTAAACCATAGAGCCTCTTTAATTTGCTTCAGTAGTAGCAATATACTCAGATTCAGTGGTGGATAGTGCAACAGTGTGTTGTATTTGTGATTTCCAACTAACACATGAATTTGATAGGGTAAAAATGTAAGAGGAAGTCGATTTCCTACCATCCCTATCTCCTGCATAATCAGCATCTACAAAGCCCTTCAATTTCACACCTTTCCTATTAGCACTAAACTTTAGGCCTATGTCATCCATACCCTTCAAGTACCTTAATAACTACTTTAATGCTTCCCAATGTTTAGGATTTGGATTAGCCATGTACATACTAAGAGTACTAATAGCAAAACCTAAATTCGGTCTAGTGCAAACCATTAAATACATTATCGAACCAATCACATTAGAATATAAGACTTTACTCATGTATTCTATTTCACGTTCGTTGCAAAAAGATTGTTCTTTAGATAAAACAAAATGGCTAGCAAGAGGTAACGTGACAGATTTGCAATCACTTATATTAAATTTCTTCAACACTTTAGATATGTATGGAGACTGATGCAAGAACAAAACGGAATTTGACCTATCTCTTTCTGTTTTCATGCTTAGAATTCTCTTAGCCTTACCTACGTATTTCATGTCAAATTTACCACTTAATTTTGCTTTTATATTATATATCCATTTAGAAGAAGACCCAATCAAGAGCATGTTATCCACATAGAGCAACAAAAAAAAAATTGTTATCAGTCTCGTTGTGTTGAAAATACAAACAGTGATCAAATTTGCTTCTTTGGAACCCTATAGTAAGTACAAGGAATCAAATCTCTTGTACCACTGTTTAAGTGATTGTTTTAAGCCATACAGGGATCTTTTCAGAAAACACACTTAATCAGGTTTTAACTTGTCCTTAAAACCTTTGGGTTGGTTCATGAAGATTTGTTCGTCAAGCTCACCATGTAAAAATGTAGGTTTTATATCAAGTTATTCAAGTTCCCAGTCAAAATGTGCAACCAAAGCAAGCATGACCCTAATAATGGTGTCCTTAACAACGGGTGAGAAAATCTCTTTATAATCAACACCCTCCTTTAGTGTGTAACCCATAGCCACTAACTTAGCCTTAAACCTCAAGGGTTCCAAGCTACTAGTACCTTCCTTAACCTTAAAACCCATTTGCAATCGACAATCGATTTGTTCTTAGGCCTAGGTACTAGCTCCCAAGTCTGATTCTTTTCTAGAGAACTCATTTCTTCTTTCAACGCCTTGAGCCACTCCTTAGATTGATCACTACCTATTGCCTCTTCAAAGGTTTTTGGCTTTTTATCAGCTAGTTTTTCGTAACTAGTATGGGCAAAGGCTAACTCAGACTCAAAATCGAACCTTCTTGGTTCTCTCCTTTGTCTTCTCTCTTTATCCCTAGCTAGATCATAATTAGTTAAGAGATTTTTTTCCTCAGGGTGTTCCTCTATCACTACTTCGTTACTGTTCTCCACTTCGGGTTCCTAAACCTGAATCTCCACCTCATTTGGAGTAGTAGGGGTTGGTGTACTAAGTTTTCCTGACTCTACCTTAAACTGATCTCTCTCATCACCTGGTTCAGTTTCACTCATAGGTTCGGTTTTCCCTTTAATACACGGCATCTCATTCTCGTTAAATGTGACATCCCTACTCACGATGATCTAACCCCCTTTTGACTTCTATCCCATAATCTGTATCCCTTAACACCTTCGGGATACCCTAGAAAGACGCACTTTCTAGCTCTAGGTTCAAGCTTTCCCTCGCTCTGATGAGAAAAGGCGGCATAGCCAAAAGTTCTAAGCATAGAATAATCACTCAGTCTACTCGACTATCTCTCATACGGAGTGTCACCATTCAATGCAACAGATGGAGCCAAATTAATCAAATAACAAGCAGTTATAACAGCTTCATCCTAAAAGGATTTGAGGACACGAAAACTTAACATCATGCAACGCACTTTATCAAGTATGGTTCTATTTATCCTTTCGGCTACCCCATTTTGCTGGGGAGTGTAAGGAACAGTCTTGTTTCTAGTTATGCCATTTTCTTTACACATACTATCAAATTTCGTATTGCAAAACTCTAGGCCGTTATCTGTCCTTAAAAATTTGATTTTCTTGCCAGTTTGGTTTTCCACTTGTCTCTTCCAGTTATTGAAATTATGAAAAGTCTCAGATTTATCTTTCAATAGATAGACCCACACTTTCCTAGTATAGTCATCAATAATAGTCAAGAAATGCCTATTCCCACCCGATGTGGGATTACTAGTAGGACCCCACAGATCAGAATGCACATATTCAAGCATGCCTTTAGCTTTATGAATATTCGTGAAGAATGAAGTTTTATGATGCTTACCAAGCACACAGTGATCACAAAATTACAAATCCGACACACAGTCATTACCAAATGCACCTTTTTCATTAAGTAGCTTAAGTCCCTTAATGTCTACGTGTGCAACTCTATTATGCCATATGTGTGTGTGATCAATATTGGCAGAAGAGATAGAGGAGTTCAAACCTCTAATCACTTCCCCAGTAGTGATATAGATGTCGTTTTTCTTAGTTTCCTTAGTGGACACTAAAGCACCCTTAATCATCTTTAGCATACAATTTCCAATTTTACCAATGCAGTCATCATTTTCAAGTCTCCCTACTGAAATCAAATTCCTAGACAATTCGGGAATATATCTAACATCTTTTAACGTGTACACAAAACCCGTGTCAAAGTTTACTTTTATTTCACCAATTTTAGCAATAGTATAGGCAAAGTTATTACACAGCACAACATGTCCAACATTAGATTCATGCAAGTTATAAAACCAGTTCTTTTCAGACGTCACATGAAATGATGCACCAGAATCAAGTATTCACTCGTGCGTGCAAGAATTAGCAGTTAGATTCAATTCAGTAGTGTATGCAACTGTACTTGTAAGCGTATAGACCTCATCGTTATCTATCTCAGATGTAGAGGATAACACATTTATCTCATCTCTTTCCTTAATCTTTAACTTACCATTTTCTTTATGTTAATTTTTTATAAAATGCCCTGAGTTTCCACAGCCATAGCATTTTCTCGCCTTCGTCCTAAATTTTGATCTAGGCCTACCATTACCCTTCTTTTTTTCCATCCATTATCACTTGACTCGTCACCACTTTGATATCCATTATGATTATTTTGCCTAAATTGAGTTCTATCCCGCATCACATGTAACTCACCGCTCTTCTTATCGTATTTTTCAGCCCTAATTTTCATCTCTTTACTCCTAAGGGCATCTATGACAATTTCAGATGTCAACTTATTTCTACTATACTTAATGATATTCTTAACTTCCTTATAGGAATCAGGATTCGCATTGAGCAAAATTATAGCCTATAAGTTTCGGACACAGTCTCATCACAATTAACTATATTTTGTACCAACTTATTAAACACATCTAAATTTTCATCGAGATTCTTTGAAGGATCTATTTTAAAAATGAAAAAAATGTTCGAGTAAGTAAAGTTTATTCGATGTAGATTTAAGCAAATACAAGTCTTCCAATTTTTTTCAAAGTTCTTTGATAGTTTTTAGTTTACCCACCTTTCTTAAAACAACGCCAGACAAGTGTAAAATAATTGAGGTGTAAGCAATTTTATCGCCTTCTTCTCTTTGTTTTTTTGAAAAACCAGTTGAAAAATTGCCTTCAATGGCCTTTGAAACTTTTTGTTGGACTAAAATACTCTTCATTTTTTTGTTGCCAAATAGAA